ATTGCAAATGTTACGACAAACTACTCTGATATTTAACAAAAATGTTATAACCAAGAAAACCATTGCCAATATAAAGTTTAATAACTCTGATAGTGATACTAGCTAAAAGTAACTAATATTGATCCTGATGACAATACTTCAAAGTACAACTACTTCAACTATTCCAACGAAAAGAGAAAAAATCAACATGCAATGAAAAACAAAACCAAAGACCAGTTATATCATCGCCGTCACCGTCGCGTCGTTATTGCTGTCGTCGTCGCATCGCATCATCGTTGTATATACGTAGTGCTCGAGAATCGATTTTGGGTTGAAATCGATTCCTATCCCTATATCAAATTCTTTCACAAATATTTGACAATTCCTACCATATCGATCGATATCAGTTTAAATGTTTATTTTTAGATGTGGGAAACTTAATTACACGTGAACGAAATCGATTAAATATATAGCTGTTTGGTAGAACATATCAAATTGACAATCGATTAATCGAATTTATTTAAATCGATTAATCGATTAATCGAAATTATTAATCGATTTAGAATCGATTCTGCGTTGAGAATCGATTTCTACCCCTAAAACAAAGTTATTCCAAACGCAGATCACTAGAAATTATACTTCTTTTCCATTCTAATCTTTATCATTTTCAACAACAGCACGATACAAGCTTTCGCCGTACAAACAAGAATACGAACAGCGTGCACGAGATCGTGCTCGCCGTGAACAACAGCTAGAAGAGGAGGAAGAGCGAAAACATAAAGGTCTAAAACCTAAACCAGCTGACAATGTTTTGGATGAAGAGGGACCTCATGATTTGCTTAACTCGAATAGAACCCAGTTGGTTCAAAGCACTAGTATATTGCCTCGAAACAACCAGGATATTATTGTAAGTGTGAGATTGTGTGGTGAAGGATAGTGTCAATCATTTGGATTACATTAACGGAAAAAATTGTGAGTATTTGTTTTATGCGTGTGAGCTTATTTGATGTGGATTTGTCATTTATAATGTTCTTGCAATTTGATAGAGAATAGGGACATAAAGATTGGTTGATGATAATACTTAATTTTTTATTCCCTTTTCATAAAGATCAAAGAGCACTAGACCGAACTATGAAAGTAGAGCATAGTACATTGGATCAAGTGCAAAAACGATTGGCTCGTTTAAAAAAAAAACAGAAAGAAGAGAAACCACAAGAATATGATTTCGAAGCGCGTGTCGAACAGATGCATCAGCAAGAAGGAGAGGAGAAACAGAAAAAGGTTGAAAATAATACAGCTGCAGACAATGAGGGTAATGAGGGTGAAGGATTGGATCCGGAGATGGCAAAGTTGATGGGGGGTAAATTATTTTTGAATGTTATTGCTGAATAATGCGTCGCTAAATTATTATCATTATTGTTTAAAAAAAGGTGTGTAATATCAGTGAAAATATTAATACCACCTCGCGTTCTTTAACGATTCTTATTAATTTATTAACATATACACGACTTATCGATTTTCTGTTTCCAAAGTCACTTTCATTAATTAGTCAGTATTCTTATTCCCCGCTTGAATAATATTTGATCATTAAGTATAGTGATTTTATTTTTTTTGAATAATAAAATCAAATAAATGCTGCTACTAAATTATTTACCAAGATGTAGCAAATTTCATTGATCCCAGTTCACAATACTCATGATTGTAGTACAGATTCAGACTGCTCTAAAGTGCGTTTATGACTATAATTTTAATTTGGAATAACTAAAAACCCAGCTACAAATGAATACTCGATATGCAAAAGATGGCGATCTACGCAAATAATATGAATTCCAACTACGAAGCACTGACTTGGAAAAAGAAATTAGATTATTTAATTAAGTTCATTAAAGGGTTGTATACCATTCAAACAAAAGACTTTGTGCATCGTGACTTTCACCCTGGAAATATATTAATTAATAATATGGCTCAAATTGCTGATTTTGGACTTACTTGCCCAGCAGATACAAATAAATCTAATCAACAAATTTGCGGATACTTCCTTATATGAGTCCGGAGGTACTAAATGGAAAACCATACACTAAAGCTGCAGATATTTATAGTTTCGGGATGATAACGTACGAGGTTGCCAC